CTCGGACTTTGCTCCTCTGCCCCGCAACGGGACTCCCCGAAGCGAGGGAGAAAGGGCCCCGCTTCCTGAGGGAAGCCCCACGCGGGGCTGTGGTGATGGCTCTGCCCAAGGCCCTCCGGCTGCGGGGACCGGCGCCGGGCACATGGCTGCAAAATACCGGGGTGCTTCAAACCCGACAAGGGTGCTTCTCTTCTTGCCCCTTTTTGCCCCGTGCTCCTCCCCGAAGTCATTTTTATTTTCTGAAGATGATAAGTTTAACATTGCTCTTAAGTTCTTGTGCCCAGCACGAAGGCCTTGTTTCTAAAACTAGTTTGCTTGTGTTTACTACTTTGTTAGTATTCTGTATAAGGTTGTCCGGAATGGGAAAACACTTAACTCCTTTACCAAACCAAAGGTTGCCATTTTACTTTGGAGCATCTCGTGTTCATTCCAGTGAAGCAGAGGCTGCACTTTCTTTCTGGTGACACGAAGGTCAGTGGCATCAAACCGTTTTTGCCGGTCCGCTCAGAACTGTTGGGCTTTTATTTTGCTCCCCTGGGGACTCATTTGTAAGGAAATCTGGTCTGGATCTGTCCTTCCGCCAGCTCCGCCGTGGCCGTAGGTCTCTCGAGTCAGAACCGCTTGCGTCTGCGTCCCCCGCTGGACATCCAATCGAGACACTGGTGTTCTTAATATTAAACTTATCTACCTTACTAGGAAAAAAAAATGAACTACAAAAGAAAATTGGCTAATAGAAGATCCCCAATTGCTTTTTCTTTTTTTTTTCTTTTTTTCTTTATTTTTCTTTTTTCTTTTTTCTTTTTTTTTTTTTTTTAAGCAAAGCTTCGTCTGAAGTACTGGCAGGTGCCTGCAACCTAAAAATAACACTTAAACTTTTCCCAGGTTTTCAGGACTTGCTCGAAAACTAAATGAGAAGGAAGCAGCCTGTCAACCTCTCCTGCATTAGGAGTCTCAGCCACTGCAGTTAAAAGAAAAAGCCAATAATGAAAAGCACAGTAGCGTATTCAGGCCAGGGCCTACCTTTTTGGAGACCGTGAAAAGGTATCCCTGGGGTTCCAGTTTTATTTCCACAGGGCTTTTAGCCAGTGTTGTTCATAGTTTGTTTCGTTTTGCAACACTGCAATAACAGCAAAACGACCAGAAAGGAAAACAGTACCTAAGGGGTTAGCTTGAGAAAAGTAGCTTCCTTGTGTTGGTCTTTCTCAATTTATTTTTAATATATATATATAAAAAATATATTTATATATATATAATTTGCTTGCCTGTAAAATTTGCGTTCATTAATGTGTTGCTGATGGATCACTTGGGCCTGTACACACCAATTAGCGTGACCACTTCCATCCTAAAACCAGAAATCTAAAATATATATATATATATATATATTAAGGACAGTGGCTTGTATACAAACTATTGCATACACTTGTGCAAATCTGTCTTGATTTAAAGGAAAAGCAAAACCTGTATAACATTATTACTACTTGAATGCCTCTGTGACTGATTTTTTTTTTCATTTTAAATATAAACTTTTTTTGTGGAAAGTATGCTTAATGTTTTATTATTTCCCCCGCCCCATTCCCCTTGTAAATATGTTTTGTTCTGTGTGACTCGGTTCAGAAATAGTTAACTGGTACTGTAATTTGCATTAAATAAAAAGTAGGTTAGCCTGGAAATGACATTTAAAAATTCGAAGTGTGTGGTCTTTATTTCAAACCCCTGCCCCTTCTCTCCTCCTCTTGTCTTCCTGCTCCACCCCTTGCTCCTCACACCTCTTTCCGCTCCACAAGAATAGGTGGACATGAATCTTTGTACTAATAGTAATAATAAAAAATAAATAAAAACACAAGAAATAAGCATGTTTTCTTAAATGAGCTCTGTTATTCCATGATATTTTTCCAAGAGATGCCAGCTTGTCTGTGATACCATTGGATTTGATGGAGAGAGGAACCCTGGGACATTATATTTCAAATTAAAACCAGCCAATCTTCCTTTCCTGTCCACCTATAGCTACAAACTGAAGAACCTGTGTAACCTGCTGGCTCTGAATCCTGCGCTCATTCTTTTTTTCTTTCTTTCTTTCTTTCTTTTTTCTTCTTCTTCTTTTTTTTTTTTTTTTGATCCCATTAGTAATGTCATTTGGTGGTGATCTGTAAAGTTTGTCGAGACCACGTCCAGTGGCCCATTCCTCCAGGAAATTGGCACGTAGCTGTCTGGTTGGGGTGCTGGTACTGGATAATGTATGTATTAAACACGACATGTCTATTAGCGCAAAAAAAAAAGAAAAAAAAACAAATAAAAGTTAAAATATGTTTTTGGCCTGGCTGACCTGGCCAAATCCATTCTGTTGCTATCCTAAAGGCTAGATGCAAGGTCATGTGACTGCTGCTTCAATAAAAACAAATTTATATTGCAAAAAG